TGTGTGTGTGTGTGTGTGTGTGTACATATAAATATACACAGTGCACACACATATATTATGTAAACACAAACTTTTATTTTGGATGCGATTAATCGATTTGACAGCACTAAAGATAATCGAACGTTCGTTCAGACTTATCTGGTTTTTTACTAATGTTCTCAAAACGTTAGCACTAAAATGTTATTTATACATCATTCATCAACGTTTTTTGTACTAGCTATTACTCATTTGAGAACATTCAAAAGTAACGTTCCTATAAAGTTCACACAACCAAGAAAAAAAAACTTAAACGTGCATTTTTGTGCTGAGAAGCAAGGCCTGCGGTCGGATCTTGTGCTCAAATTAGACATCCAAACAAACACTGCTGCATAAATATTCAGTTATGGACTATATGTTCAAATATTAATGGCAAACCAAACCCACAAAGTTCCAGGATCTGTTTACCTGTGAATGAACAGGTTCTTCTCTATTCTGACACAGAATCCTGATCGGATCGATTTATTATCAGTGTTCAAGTCAAGTCAAATGTATTTGTTTTTATTTTTTAGTTGCACAGTATGAATGCGGATACTTAGATATTCTACTCTATGTAGGCTAAAGATATATTCATACCCTCTCCACTGTTTAAATCATGAGACACGCATTTTATTTTTATGATTCTTGTGTTGAATATTGCCTCCAGGTGGCGTCATTGAGCTTATTCAACCAGATCCTCTCTCCATTCATTCTTCTCATAGGGATTTTAAAACAAAGCGTTATAAGTCGTGAACAAAACCAACCAGCTTCGAGGAGAATCACAACATTACAAACTCTGACTGGAAGCAAAAAAGTATTTGAAAATCGGACAGAAACCGAACTTAATGAAAAAGAAAAAAAAGAACTACAATCCCGTGAGGCTTTGCGAATGACATAAATTAAAAACGACGGTGAAATATAAAACTATTCATTTAAAGTTGTTAATTATATCTATAGAAATAGCATGTTTTAATTATATTGCAAAATATATACAAATATGTATATGCAACTCTCTGATTGGTGGAATTTTGCCGCACGGCATCATGGGTAATGTAGTTTCCCCGCCACAAATTCCGGTGTTAAACATGATTATTCCTAAATAAGTTGTAATAATGCGAACAGATGGATTCAACAAACGCAAATACTATCGGTTAACAACCTCTGGGTTCACAACAGGTCTGTCTTTATTGGTTTATAAGTTATAATTTAAAACCTGCTGTGTGTGTGCAGAATATCATTGTTCTTTGTTACTTTTATGCATAGATTTTTAATTCCCCAAAATATGATTGGTTTCTTTATTGATGTTTTGGTATCGCAGGAACATAAAAAACATGAAAAACTGAAACAGTATAATCTTTGTTTTACTTACAACTTAACAAAACAAACAAAAATTTTTTTTACAATGTTTCAGATGAAGAATTTATTGTATTGAATCATTATTCCTTATTTTTATATCGTTAGAAAACTATTACTATTTATATTCTGTTATAGTTTTCAATCAATATTTTCAGTTATAGCTTGTATTTTTATATTTTCATTTTAGTTTGTTTTAGTAATTTTGTAATGTGCTTTTGTCATTTTATTAGATTTTTTAAAACACTTTTCCATTTAGCTTTAAAGTATTTTTATTTCAGTTTTAGTTGTAGTAAGATTATTGTATTTAACTCAAGATTATTTAAAGTTTTTATCCAATATTTATATCTTATTTCAGCTTTATTAGACAATTTATAAAACCATTTTATAGTTCTAGTTTTATTGTTAACTAGAACTAATTGTTTTGTGAATATTGTGTGTGTGTGTGTGTGTGAGTGTGTGTGTGTGTGTGTGTGTGTATATATATGCTTTTGTCATTTTTATTTGTATTTTTTTTTATTTCCGTCATTTTAGTTCTTAAACTTATTTTATTTCAGTTATTTGGTAACAATGCAAGTTTAATTTTTGTATTTAATATTTATATTTTATATTATTTCAGCTTTATTTCAGTTACCAATAGATTTTTTATAGTTTTAGTTAACAATAATAGCACAGAAATATATAGAATTTAAAATACCGCCCCTAAATGAATTAATCTCTTACTGGATCTCCAACTGAACAATTCAAATCTTGAATCAACATGCAGAATGATTAATCTGAAGCATGCGAACTGATGCTTAATTCATGAACCGTCAGATTTTTGACAGTATACTGTGGTTTAAATCATTCAGTCCATGCAGTGCGTCTCTGATCAGATGCTGTTGTTCAGTGTAATTGTGCTCGTGTTTCTCAGTGGTTTCCACACATTTGTGTTTGTCCGTCCACTGGCTTCTGTGGTCTGAAGATATTCAGCGATGAGAGAAACAGAGCGTTCTGCACAGCACTGCAGAC